GAAGTACTGATAGAATTCTTTTGTTAATAAGGACTGTTCTTCTTATGGAAATAGGCTGAATTAATATCCTGAGACGTGAAGTCTCCATTGAATGATACCATGACGAAAGGTGCAGCATCTAAATAAAGTAGATTATTTGTGTAGATGAAATTACCCTTCAACTATCCTATCTTTCTCACTATAGCGATATTTTGCTACAGTTCGCCTGAAACACTGATCGTTGCAACCAATATGCTAGGGGGTGTCGCAGTCAGATTACATGACGCGGACACCAAAATAACAGGCCAGAAAATGGGAATTCTGATCAATCCAGATAACATATAACGCAATTTCATTAAAAATTATTGACAAAAAAGAATTTCCAAGGGAAATTTTAACAGCGGTACTAGAACATGGCATTTAACGTCTACCACGTTATTCGCTCTGGCACCAGTAATTGGACAGAAACAAGATATTTAGGCAAAGTTAAACTTTCGACACCAATAACGACAAATCATCAAAGACAGTTTCAACTTTTCAAAGAAAGTTCCTAGAAGACAATTAATTCAGTGTCACTTACCAGTATACACAATTCGCGCTAGAATAATGGTGAGCTTCCTCAACCAATGACTAGCATGCGTTCAGGGTCATTCGAACATTCACAAGGTCATTGGAACATGTACAATCCTGGGACTCTACTGTTGAACTTCGCCCTTTAAGGATCGCTGCCACCCACCATGATGCTTGAAAACATTTTAAATAATCGCGAGAGTAAGTAATCCGATTTGGACATATAAGTGAATAATTAAAACAAATTAATTCCAAGTAATCACATGCACTTTACGTGACGGAAAATCTTTTTAGCCCAAGCTTTAAGCAGGCCACTCGTATTTTGTATGGAATTTATGTGTCTCATGTGCTATTTCATTATTTGAGAGATAGAGTAACGACTTGTTTTAATGTTTGGTCTACAGTATATCTAGTGTCTTACTCCACTATTTTTTTTATTCCTTCACGTTCCCAGTGGAACATAGGGCTTCAAGCTAGAGGCTTGAAGTTTCCATAGCAGTGTTTATTTTTACAGGATGAGGTTGCTAGCCTCATGCCCAACCTTTCCCATTTACCAGCTTTATTTCTGGCTTAGCGAAGTAAAGGAGTGCGTCGGCCGGGGACCGAATCCCGGACCATGTGCATGGTTGGCGAGCATCCTAACCGCTATGCCACCGACGCACTTATTCCACTATAGTTTGACCATATTATTAACTGGATGAGGTTGGTAATTCTTAGTGTGATTTCTAGCATTCTATAGACTGTAACCAGCCAGTCTACACCACTCTACGTCGCTGGCTGTAGTCAGCTGTCAATATCTTCATGGACTGATGCGAGGCTCTGATTTGACCAACCATAACTCTATTCCAACTCAATCCAATGTTGGCTAAGATTACCCGTCGAGGACGGCAGTGACTCAGAATTCGCAACACGTTTCCTGGCCACCTCGATCGATGTATCCTAAAAATCTTATTGATTCACATTCCCTCCTTTACTAGAACTTTTTGTCTAATACCACCATTATTCACTATATTATAACATTTAATACAGGAGAAGGAACGCGTACGTTTGCTGCCAATAACAGATGGCCATTTCGAAATCACTACCTATACAGCGTCAATAAATCTGGATATCTATGAAATGACGAAAATATGCTGATAGCTGCATCTCAGATCCCAGTGACTCATTCGATGGCAAAATTCTGCTCCTGCCTGCCTCTTTCGACATTTTTGTATGGATTGGTTCGCAGTTACTCAGGTTCCAGACCGAAAAGAATAAAAAATTCACCAGTTGCTGAATTATAATTACCTCTCTGCATGTTTAACTGGATACTAACTGCTGTGGTGAGCCTTTTGCAGTTTATATTGCTTAAAACATCGTTTACGGTAAACTGAGTAACGTTTTATAAGCCATTTTTATACTTTTATGAGTAGCCCACCATATCGACCGAATGTAACGCAACACTCAGTTGTTACGCTCATTTTCAACAAATTCAAACAATAATTGTGCCTAGGATTATGTTATATAAACTGTTTTAACTTATGCAGAGTGTACTTACGGTCAATATTTCATTATCTTCCCTTGTATATATATTTTGTGTTAGTGAAAAATTTTAAACATTTTTACTTCATGTGTGCATTATTATAATATTGATGATGCCTGTCAACTGGAGTCCCTCAAGTGCATAAAGTGGGAATATATTATTGTAAGACGCATTTTATTGTTATATGAGGGAATTGACTTCAAGCTTTATTTATTTTCCCAAGTATGTGTAATCCATCAAACGCATACTTGGGTTTTTTTGTTAATGCGAAGTCAGTACCTCTATATTTGTTGGTGTGTTCCATTGAATCACCAGTTATCCGATTTTCCCCACAAACTAAAGATAAAATGACAACGACCATGTTATTTAACCGTAAATCATGTAATTTAAATATGTAACTCAAATAATTCTTATCCATTCCTATACAACTTGTGTGTCCCATATTTGTATGAATAAATATGTACCCTATTATATTATCATTACTAACCATACTTACTAATCGTATGTGTAATTTATCGAATTGATGATGCCTGTAAACTGGCGTCCCTAATGTAAAGAAAAATGAGAATATACTATTATTATTATATCTTTCGCTTTCGATGGAAATATCTCATAGCAATAAAGCTGGATGTTTCTGGGTGTTATTGTGATCTGTGAGGCAATAGAACACAAGAATACTAAGAACGTTAAGCTGCATACGGAAATGAAAAAGAACAATTATTATTACAGATAATCAACTTGATTACACTCGATACAAACGAAACCGACTCGTTGTGGTTTGAGGACAGGAGACTGATATCTGCGTCCCACTGTATTGCTGACTAAAACTTTCTTGAGACACGCGAAGCCATAAAATCTATGCGGTTCCATTTAACAATATTAACATCAGAAACTCGTTTTAAGCAGGCCGTTAGAATGGAACAAAGAGGCTAACCCATCAGTATGTGAACAGAAGTAGTCATTAAAGAAAAGCTGGACATTCACCGTGCATCTGAGCAGTAATTCCCCAACTATTTTCAAAAGGGATTCCCATCTCCATCTTTGCTTTACTTATATATGTAGCCAATCGCTTCCAGAAATGAGAGGTTTTTAGGTGATCATGTTACATCCAGCACCATTCTTTTCCCTTTTCACTTTATTTGCATGCAAAACGAAGACCAACCAGCAGCCTAATTATGAAAAACACTGCGACTTATTGAATGAGCGCTAGATGAATGACGAACCTGATTGAAGATCTGGTGCTTTTAACATGTTTAAGGGTGACTATCAAAATAAGATGAGGTTCTCAGCAGGCGAACAAAATTTAAATTGCAGCCATATGTAGTTTTAGACTGAAAATGTGAGCATTTGCAACCAAATTTAATCCAACCCAAATTGGCTTCAGTACTGTTTTTGCACTGTAATTTAATTGGAAGTGAAAATGGGGCCCATCACTGCGTAGGCTTCACGACTTACTTTAACAAGACGCAATCCGCCTCTGACTGACTACAGATACTGACATAACCACTTCAGCCTTCAACGACAGGCTGAATAGTTAACGGTCTCTCATCTAGTTGTCTATGCATCACCATTACCTCATAAAAACATAGTTTACTCTCTTGAAATGAATCACTAGTCTACTCTGAATTATCACAAATTGAAACAATCTAAATGTCTGATTGCTGATTCCAGTTTGGGGCATGAGCCAGACTTGAGTGTACTGCCCCAAGCTCGAGGTTAGTTGGGAGGTTTCATAAAGTTAACATTACCGTACTTGGACACTTCAATATCCAAAAGTATTTGGCTACTGTCATCTTGTGGAATAATGAATACTCTCCTCCTTCGCTACCTTCTGCTTCTATTTGAAAATAACTGTTTTTGTGAATCATGTTTGAGTCAAAACTGCCTGACGTCATCAATGAAAGTTCACGGGAGAGTGGAATATAAGAGAAACATGTATAGCACCTACAGTCTGAACCTAGGAAAATAATTACTATAGTTAAAAAGGTAAACTTGAATATCATATGAGATGTTGATCGACATTGAAGAATGGTTATAGCTCCTAGTGGCGTAGTGACATAGTAAACAAAATATAAACCCATACTACCACTAGCTAGCAACAAGTTAAATAGTTACGTATTAGAGCAAGATATAGTATGAGATGAGTAGACGTTATTTATGGAGAATTAATACCTTCTTCCGAATCTACCAATGTTTTCCATAAGTTGCATTCCAGTTAAATAAAGACATGATAAAATGTGTTCTTGTCATATTTACACTGACCAGTCAGCAATTCTAACCAGACTACAATTTTGTTGTCGAGATGGGATCTACGCGAAATGGTGTAACGTGAGCACGCCTTCACAACATCTCCTATTTTCCGGGTGCAATCTC